ATGCAGCTGCCATCGAATGCGAAATTGTCGCTGCTTCTGCTCTTTGCTATTTTAACCATAGTCTTGCCCCGTTTTGGCCTGACCACCAATCAGCCTTTAAGTTGCCTTACAGCGGGTACAGTGCGTTTCGTTGACTTACGGTAATATATCAGTAAGGTGATAATCAGTAAAATTAAAAGGAAATTTTAATTAAATTTTCTTGGGAAACTAGTATTGTAAATATAATACTATACAGTAACTAATAATTCTCAGTAATAATTCTTCCTAATAATATAATAATATCATATTAATAATAATAATAATTCTTCATAATTATTCCCAATAATATCATATTCATTAGATAGTAAATTAAATTTTATTCAAGCCTTACTTTAATGTACCGCAGTGTGCTTTAGTCCTCCTATATGTTTGTGCATGTGAAGGTGTCAGTGTGTCAAGTCAATTAATTGCCGATTGAAATCGTTTTTGCGGTTTGTTCTTAGTTGACCTCGCTGCCCTTCAGTCCCTCCTCCTGGTAATTGACTTTCCATCTTTATGACACGGTGAAAAGGGGGGCTGTGTGTCCATAAACTTGTCACATTTCGCCTGAATGTGACATTTTGCCATTTGGCCCTCACAATATCCTCGCCCCACTGCGCGGCTGCCAGTCGTCTGTCGTCTGTCTTTGTGGCAACCGCTTAACATAGGAATTCAATTTCCTGCAAGTGTCTCCCTGAAACATCGGAAGCCCCTAGATTTCTGTAACCCCCCGTCCGCAGGAAATGCTCTTGAAAAATACTCCACGCGAAAGTAGTTTTTTAAGCTCTTTTTTTCAGGGGGATTTTTAAAAGGGGTGGTAATTTTCCTTCACCTTGAAAATGGGGGAAGAAATAAAATATCTTCACTGCAGGAATTTAGTTGGGAATTGAAATTGATAGGGCCGTCGATTTCAATCGAGGTGGAAAAACTGAGAGATAAGAACTTGATTATTTCCCAATAAGATTTGTAGTTCTAATCTAAATCTGGTTTGACACTTACTAAATCCCCTGATCAATACTGTCTTATAATGCCATTATATCATTTTCTCCTCCCCCAAGATTTGTTTTTCAAGCAACCGCCTCGCTAAAATTATATTTCAATCAATGCAAAGCACTGTTTATTTGTTTTCCTTGGCAATTTGTTTCAATTTGATGGCGCACAACATTAATTGAAGTCAACCACATCCTGCATGGGTTGCTGCCTGGGCGTTTCAGTGGGAGGAGGAGGCCTTAGGCCCTCTATATAATGTGTATATATCATTGAGTGTGTGCTTATTGTCCTTGTTGCGGTCTTGTCACTAATTTGATTTGCTAGTTTGCCCCAGTTCCTCGGCTCCTTGGGTTCCCTGGGTTCACCCTCCTTTCAGGAAATTGAAATGAATTATTTGTCATAAGACAGCGGCAAATCCTTGTGCCTGTCTTTCACTACTGCCTCACTTTATTTTATTTCTTTCTCTATTTTTTTATTTTTTATTTTGTCATTTCTGGGCCAACTCTTTCTGCTCGGCTTTGGCCACCCTCTTTTCTGCCTGACTTTGCATAAATGTAAACAGATTTCCCTCCCGGGACTTGGCAAACATTTTTGCTAAATTGAAAAGTAAAGCAAACAAGAGCAATATACCTATATTTATATTGTAGTATATGTGTGGATTATACAGCCGAACACCTGACTTGTAATCGGGCATCGGTTGGGAGATAAGAGATCTCTGGAGCGAATACTATTTCCTATAAATGCGAAATGCATTTTGTTATTATATTCCTCTTAATATTTACCTATTCTTATTTTTTATATATTTATTTTCTAACCTCCCAAATGGCGACACCCTCAATTAGCAATGACAATCACGTTGCTAGGGGGATTTTCTATATATATTTATATATATATTGAAGATGGAAGGTGAGCTGTCATTTTGATACTCGATGCGAGTCGATTAGATTCAGATTCCTGCACAAAGTGAATAGTAAGTTTTGAATCGAGTCATTAACATTGGCCAATTGATGGTTCCATTTTGGTTTCATTGCCCGGCGCCTTAATGGGAATCGTGCAATCCAAGCTTTGTATAGACAGGTGCAGTGTTTATAAATAATTAACAATATAGAACCCAATATTGGCTCGATTTAAAAAGAAAAGCTGCTGCAAAAAATCGCTGAAATTTAATCTGGCTGCTAACGGCAATTTATAAAAAGTGCGGAAAGTGGGAAGTGAAAACTGTATAATCGAGGAATTAATTAATAAAGTGCGGCTTTGGCTTGCAGTTCATAATAAACATCAGTTTAATTAATTACTCTAGCAGCTCGCTCGTCAAAATTCTTGAGGTTTCTCCACTTTTCCTCTTCCCTTTTTTTTCGACCTCTCGTACCCCCGATTTCCCATTTTCTTTGTCTCACTGCGATTAACATAAATCCCTGGCACGTGCTGAGAGTTGAGAATTGAGAGTCGCTACGTTCCGGTTTTATTTGCATTCTAAAAATTGTATGCAAATGCCAGTGGATGAGATGGAGCTCTTTGCTTTGTAAGCGTTGGAATAAATGCGATAAGGCTGCCCGAAATAAATCAAAACCAGAAGCCAGCACAGAAACAGCAACAGAAACAGATTCAGATATTCAGATATATAAATGCAGATATGCGGATAAGTAAGGTGTGAACATTTGTGTGCCATCGCCGTGAGGGAAAAGTGGAAATCTGTGCGAGGAAGCAAAATGAAAGGAGTGAAATGCCTTCGGCTTTAGGCAATTGTCCTGAGAGCTTCTGCAGTGAGAAACCAACTGGCAGGACATGGCAGGAAAATAAAAGAAAATGGAAGCAGCAGCAGAAGTAGAAGTAGAAATGGAAAACTGACAGTCTGAGGTCATTCTGCCAATTATAATGCAGCGAAGGACTGCCGACGACGACGATGATGATGATGATGAAGTTGATGGCACCAAGGGGAGGAGAAATGTGCAGATGATGATAATGGGAATAGAATTTCACAGTTGCAGCACAGTGGTAATTTGATAAGTTAAAACATTTTTTAAAACAAAGAGAAATTAGAAAAAGTTTGTACTTTCATCACATTTTAATTGGCTGTAACATCAAGTGACATTCTTATAAAAAAATATTTCCTAATATAATAAAAAAACTCCCTACCGAATGACCACTGTAAGAACACAAATGCACTGCGCAAAATGGCCGAATAAGAAGACGAAGAACGATGTGCAGATTGATGATGAGCTGCAAAATGATGATGGTGGCTGCATTAAGGATGAGTGTATCCATTAGAATTCAACGGCGGTCTGCCTTTCAGCAGCCAGCAGTCCGGGAAATGGGGAAAAGCGAGCCGGAAGCCGGAGAGCGGAGTAATGCAGTGAGAAATACCGGAAGAAAGTAATACATTCACCTTAAGTAACCCGTAAACAGAAGCCCGTAAACCGAAACCAGCAGAAAGTTCCGCACATCATTGCAAATGCATCAGAGGTTGTGAATGTGGAGAGGAAAAGCGGGAAAGTGGGAAAGTTGGGAGGGCGGGACGAGGACAGACGGAAATGGAAATGGGCTAAAGGACACGTGTATATCGCCCTTGCAACATTGCAACATTCTTGTGGTTGACTTAACCCCTTGAGGACCATCTTTATAAAGTGACCATAGTATATTTATTTCTGATGTTTACTTAATATTAATTACAATTTTGTTTTTTATTTTTAATATATTTCCATTTTTCTAATATCTCAACTTTTTTTAAAACTATATATGGAAACTATATTTATAAATTGGTTTAAAAATAATATCTAAATGGAATCTACATATATCTTATTATTACAATGTTTTGTCTAAAATGCCTTCAAATTTTTCGAAATTAAATATTCCAAGTTCTACGAATTTTCGAGGGGTTCAAAAGGGTTAAGGCTAGCTGCACATTCCGTTCGGTTTCGGTTCGTTTTGATTCCGATGCGGGTCGAGTTCTTTGGGGTGGTGGCACATTGTACAGGGAAAGTCGATTGGAGTTGGGGACTTCGAGAGGGGGGCTGGTTTCAACCGACAAAACAGTTCCGGTTCAGTAGACTCTAAAGTGATTGCGGCGACACAACGGGCGGGCTTCGTTGGATAACCGTAGCCTTGGGCCGTAGCTCTCCTGGCCTCCTGGTGTCCCGATGTCCCGGTGTCCCGGTCTCTTGGCCACCTCTTGCTTAATGGTCAACAATGTGGTCGAGGGATTTTCGACCGATTTTCGGCCTACTTCATGAAAAAGCTACAGCGACCGACCGCCTGCCATCTGCCTCCCCAAAAAGGCTGATTGCAAAGCCATCAAATTTGTCGTCACAGTTCTTCGCTTGTGGAATTAATCTTGCCCTCCTCGTTATGTAAGGAATGGAATGCCAGTAGAGGGTTTTTTTAACCACTTTCAGCCGGCTGCACAGAAAAAAAATTTACAAGAGACTGATACGTGCAGGTTAATTTGATATTTTTTAAAGATCAATTTATTCATATCATTTTGATATAATGCAGATAATTATTAGCTTGTTTTAAAATGTTTATTAATAAAATATACTAAATTTGGTATTTTAAATATCCAATATCATTTGGTATAAAATATCAAGTTGATATGTTTGAATCATCAATTTGACATGATATGAAATAAGGTAGAAATTACCCTATTTCATATCGAAGTTTTTTTCTCTGTGAGTGTGTGTGTGCGAGCAGCAGCTTTTTGAAACCTGTTCGGTAAGCGGTTTTAATTAGGGTTGAAACTAGAAACTAGACGAACACTAATCATATAGTATAGCCGCATAACTTTGTGGCAACTAGACAACTCGGAAAAGGGTCAATATCTTGGCCATTTGAGTGGCTTTTAAGCTCGTCCCAAATGTGATTAAATATTCAACTTACTAAGAAGCATTTCCAAAATGCTTAAATATTAATTACTAGCTTATAAGCTTAATGGCAATATAATTATAATTTTATAAATAAATATACTAAATAGATTTTTCCCCATCTTTCGCCCACAGCTGCCAGTACTACGTGAAGAGCCATCCATGGGTGCTGGCCTACCAGGGCGTCATCACATTCTTCGTGCTGGCCAACTTCACGCTGGCCACCTTCATGGACCCGGGCATCATCCCCAAAGGTATGTAGCGTGCTGAGCAGGGGCCAAAGCCAGTCGTCACGGCCTAAACTTGACTGCATTCTAGCCTCGCCCGACGAAGACTGCGAGGAGGAGCTGCGCGCCCCGCTCTACAAGAATGCCGAGATCAACGGCATCACCGTCAAGATGAAGTGGTGCGTCACCTGTAAGTTCTACCGCCCGCCCCGCTGCTCCCACTGTTCCGTCTGCAATCACTGCATAGAGGTAGGTTGTCTATCAATCTATAGTGTATAGTCTATCCATGGTTATCACTTCGTTTTTATCATCCCCTTCCAGACCTTCGATCATCACTGTCCGTGGGTCAACAACTGCATTGGGCGGCGGAACTACAGGTTCTTTTTCTTCTTCCTCGTATCGCTATCCATCCACATGCTGAGCATTTTCTCGCTGTGCCTGGTCTACGTGCTGAAGATAATGCCCAACATCAGGGAGACGGCGCCCATTGTCGCGTATCCTTTTGCAAACACAAAGAAAGTCTTTCTATAATTTTTGAAAATATTTTTATTTATTTATTTTTAATATTTGTTGGTTAAATATTGATTGAAGAGGTAACCTTAGCCTCTAGTCCCGTTTTCTCGTCCGTTTAGTAAATTTAACCTAAGGTTAAAACGTGAAAACGGCGATAAATGTAAATGTGTGACTCTTTTAAATTTATTTAATTTTCCTAAATGCAATTTGCACTATATTTTTGGGTTATACATTGGTTATTTCATAAATATTCGATCCCTCGATTTAATATCAAAATGATATTTTTATCTGGTAAAATAGATCCGTTTCGTAGGCCCACTTATTTTACCGCCCCATTGGTTCGGCTTAACTCTCTCTTCACACACAGCATGATCCTGATGGGCCTGGTGACCATTCTGGCCATCCCCATCTTCGGTTTGACCGGCTTCCACATGGTTCTGGTGTCGCGGGGTCGAACGACCAACGAACAGGTCACGGGAAAGTTCAAGGGCGGCTACAATCCCTTTTCGCGCGGCTGCTGGCACAACTGCTGCTACACACAGTTCGGACCTCAGTATCCCAGGTGAGTTGTGCGGAAATTGCTATAATGCTCGCCAATATACAAATTGGACTGCCAATTATTGGCTTCAAATTACATGTCCTTGGGGAGGCAATTTCATTGTGAATTCAAGTAATAGAGTATTGTAGATTGTAAACCTGCGATTTTGATAGCCAATTATCTTGAGTTTTCGCTTCCTTGGGGATATGTATATTTTTACCGCATAATAGAGAATACTAAATATGAATTTTAAATGAAAAATTCTTTCACTCAACAACACGAAATGTTGTAATCGTTCAATGAGCATATGCAATCAACTACAAAAAATTCACTTGAAGTGACATAATGCAAATGACACATTTGATTTAAATTGGCTCGGAAACTGTATGGATTAATTTTTAATATAGCTTGTAAAATAAGTCTTACTTAAATTTGTGGCGATTAAAAAATTCCTGTTGTACAGGAAATGTGTCACGAACTCTTAAAAAATTGCCTTATCAAAGAAATTTGAGGAATTCTAATTTTTGTTTCTTAAAAATTAAAAAAACTTCATAAACAGACTTTAAGAGCTTTTAAAGGTTAGTTTTTATATTCCAACAATTAAAGAACATGTTTTATTTCTAAAAGTAGATGCAAATATAGAACTATTATAAAGTTAATATAATATTTTAGGACTCTACTAATCCCAAACTATCTCCACAGCTTGCTGAACCCGAAGAAGTACGCCTCGCGGCGATCGCAGGTGCAGAACCAGGCGATCAGCACCATTTGCAACGACCGGAGCGGCCAGCAGACGGGCGCCGGGGGCGGGGCAGGCGGCAATGGGACCGCCGCGGCCGCCGGCGGCGGAGGAGCGGGCGGCGGGGGAGGCGGGGGCGGTATGCGCGGCACTGCGGTGCAGTACTCACCACGCTCCTTCTACGACGCGAGTCGCGAGAAGCGCGGAATTCAGGTAAAGACTTATATGGCCGAGGGCAATGGTTATAATCAACGGTCGGGCAGCACAACGCTTTACAGTAAGGTGGGTAAACAACAAGATTTAGCAATATCACCGAGAAAAGCGAAGCAGTTGCTATGCGAAACTCAGATTCCTATTAAATATATCTATGTATCCTATATCTATTGTAACTAATATCCCTATAAATGGTGTGCCAAAGTAATCTCTCTCTCTATCCATTTTTTTAAAATTAAAAACTTTATTTACTTAATTAAAAACAAATATTTCTAAAATTACAAGTATTTGAAATTCCCTATAAAAGGGTTCTTAATTATTCTCTTGAGCGATTGCTGAGGCCACCTGTTGTTGTTGTTGTTGTTTGGCTTAGTTAATGTTGTTGTAATCGTAATTTGTGTTTACTTAACTGTAATTGTAACCGTTAACAGTTGTTTGTTTATGTTTATGTTTTTGATTTTGTTTTCATTTCCCATCTCGCTTCAATGTAAACAATTTCCATTTGATTTTCTTGACCTCTTGCTCTTTGGTTTCTACTTTTGTATCTCTGTTTCTACTGCATTATTTTTCCTTTGCTCATTTCGTATTTCGTATGATTTATCATTTGCTGTAATCCCCCAATAACCCCCAGCCCCCCGCCCCCCGAAAGGTCCCTTCACCCGCTTAATGCTTTGACTAATTAACTACAAAATCGATATAAATATAAACATATATATCACTCGTATATATATATATATTCCTGTAGAGAGCTTTACATATATATCGGAGAAATCTCTGAAGTATCATTGTGTTGTTGTTCTCGTTGTTGTTGTTTTTACTCGTTCTCTGCGTGGGCGAATAAAAGTTTTTCCGCTTTTCCCAGCTGCTGCTCCACAACACAACACATCCTTCAATCTCATTTTCCATTCTCCACTTTCCCAAACCGCTTTTCCTCTGCACTGCAAAAACTTTTTGGCTGCCGCTTCCACTTCTTCTTCTTCTGCTGCATTTACTATTATTATTTTTCCGCTTTTCCTGGCAAAAAAAAAGAGGAAGGGAAAAGGAAAGGGGATGTTAGTTAGTTAGTTAGTGCCACGCCCGTTTAATTGAAGGACAAGCAAACCAAATGATGCACACCCATTTACCCATTTAGAGAAAGCAACGCTCACCCACTCAAAACTTTTCCACCTCCCCACCACCCCCTCCCCCTTTGTTGACACCCCCTCCATTGTAATTGCTTTCCACTGTCCTTGACATCTCATGAAAAATACAGTGAAGGCTCCGTAGGCGAAAATGTATATATGTATCTGTGTGCCTATAAATTCTGAAATAAATGTAAACAATTTTAAGACTTTTTCCATCTTTTCCTTAATTTTAATTGTATTTATTTTAGTTTACTTTCTAAATATAACACAGAATCCTGTTTTTAATATTTCAAGTAAATAAAACTACCGCAGTTCGTTAAATGTCTTCTTAAATAAAACCAATTATAATAGAACTCCGTCCGTCTGTAAAAATGATACTATAAATTTTAAAGCAAAAACGATTATTTTCTTAATAACTGAGTAAAATGAAAATCTCAAATCTTCCTGAGAAAACTTAAACGAAATCAAAATAAAATATAAACATAAACTTTTAGCAAAACCAATTAAAAAACACTTTGCTGCCGATTAAGTTTCGCCAGTGCAATCAGCTGAGAAAAGTGGAAGGATTAATAATTTTCAATTTAAAATCAGAAACTTCGGAGCAACCGGAGCGGTGTTTTCGCTGTCTTTTCCCACTTTCATTATCCTGATTTCTAGTTATTTCCTGAAATTATCTTCGCACCCCCCGAAAAAAACCCCTTTGCATGCATGAATTTGAAATTGAATCTGTTGAGTTGGCGTTTTTTAAGTTGCTGAATATCCCGCTATTAGTTGCGCTGCATTTCCCCCTATTTTACTATTTTACAATTACCATTTTGTTGACTCGCTCTCACTTTGCTGGGCACCTTAACCCCTTCCGTTTCCGTTACTGCGTATATATCGTTTGTATATGCCGCCCAGCGCTGTCGTTATATCAGTATATATATATAGAAGTATATAGCATACATACTTATATCGAAAAGAATTGGTCGCATCTCCAAATAAACCAGCAAAAGATCTAAAAAAAAAAGAAAACAAAACCAAAAACTACACTTACTGCAAGCACCGAGAAAGGTAAAAGATATTTAAAAAAAAAGAAACAAAAAACAAATTAAAACTCAAAAATTTAATTCTTATTTTATGGATTCTTTATTGATTGACCTTAACCTTGACTTGCCCCTGAGAATCATTGATTTTAATTTATTGCCCATTATAATTTATTTTCTCGTTTCCTTGTCAAAATTTAGTACTTCTCCCCCTACTTTCCACTCTTTATTGCATCTTTATCTGTCCTCTCTCTACCTGTCTGTCACTCCAACTAATTCGAAAGATTACAAATTATTGGGAAATATTTTATGAGTACTTTTTTCTAAAATAAATTTGATTTTTTTTTTAATATTGGACTACAACGAATTGGAAAACTTCAGTAATTTTCAACTGCTTCGAGGTTTTCACAGTTAATCGAATTTTCCGTTTCACTTATTGTTTTAGAAATTACGCAGTGCTTTTTCGAGTTTTCCTCTCTGACTTTTCCACACTATTTCTTGCCCACTTTGAATTCTGAAGTTAATTACATTGCGGAAAGTAATGCTTTCCACTTTACAGGACACCGTATGCCTTAAACTCAAACTACAATTAATTAGCTGGGGGCGAGGGGCTAGAAGGAGGAGCCACCCCACCCACTCCACTTCACCCCACTGACCACTATCCTCCTTCCCCCACCCAAAAAAAAACCCCCTCAGTTTCCTTATTTTGTGTTCATTTCTTTTCATTTCTGTCGTTTTCTGTTACGGTTTTCATTTTCACAGGATTTGTTATACTATTTCGGATTTAATGTGATTTCAGATCACTTAAATTAAATTCGATTTTATCAGTAAAAATAATTATTATCTAAAGAACACACTTTGTTGTGAGATTTTATTAAATCTTTATTATTATTGCGTGTTGAAATCCAAAAATTCGTCAAGTTTTCTTAAATTTCCTTATCGAAACCCATTAAAATGTGTGAAAATGAAACTTGAACCCGTCCAGTTTTTCTCTCTACCCTCCATCCTTGTGTTTTTTATCTTTGTTATTTTTGGAAATGATCGCAACTAAATGTAGGCCTAAGTCTGTGTCGATCTCATCTCTCTTTTTTCGCCTGTGTTCGCGAGTCGAGTGTCCATGGATGACTAATGTTCCCCTTTCGCTACCGTAGCTTTCGCCTGGACGGGAGTGCTCGGACACGGATCTGGAGCCGCCGCCCGCCTCCCAGAGTCAGGATTGCGAGCCCACGCCTCCGCTGCAGCGGCACAACTCCAGCAGCTTCTACCTGCCGCAGGTGAGCGATGGCGGCGGCCTGAACGGCAGCGTTTCCACGGGCGGCGGAGGAGGAGGCGGCGGAGGGGACTCACCGCGCCACATGCGTCTCTACCATCCGCGTCACAGTCCGCACGCGAGGCCCAGGTGAGTTAATTAGCCATACACCCAAAGAAAAAAGTGTTAACTCTCTAAGCATTGTATTAAAAATATACTAGATTAGGTATAAACATATAATACAAATTCTATACTCAGAAGTATTAATTTTTATACCGAAAGTTTCAATTTAAACCTCATCTTATTGATGCAAATTTTCCACTTAATAGTGTAGAATTCATATAACAATAGTTTCGTTTCTAAAACTATTTTTTTATTAGTGTATCCCTAGCCCTATCCCTATGCCATTAAAGGCGATTGGATGGCACACGCACTAGATAATTTACCCCGATTTCCGGGAACTTTTGCCCATACATTATGCAGACCGAAAGTTAATTGATGGCCCTATAAGAAGGTGCTCTAAATATATCACTTGTAGTACTAAGTGGGTTAAACTATAAATATAATCGATTTCTTAATTATAGAGTGTCTGAGGCAGAGAACTAGAGAACTTTTATTTCACTTTGAATCCCTAAGAAATTTTAAAAATCGCGTATACGACTTAATTTTTTTATAAGTACAACTTTAGTATTTAGTACTAAAAACTGCAATAATTAATTCTATAAGACGAACAATTATAATTGTTGTTTGTTTAGTTTTAAATAATTTCTTGATAATAACTGATTAAAATCCCTAAGAAATTTAAAAAATCGCGTATACGACTCGTTGTACAGAATTACTTTTTTTTTATAATTGAAGTTCATCTTAAGTATTCAGTAATAAATACTGTAATAATTAATTCTATAGGAATTACAATAATATTTTGTTTATAGTTGTAAATAGGTTCTTGATAATAACTGATTATAATTTTAGATTATTTTTTGTATATTTAACATTATATATGTTGTTATGAAACTCTCCCTAGAGTTCTGATAAATGGGTTATGACCGTAGGCTATTTTTATTACTCCTGGGATTTTAGTTAGCCTTTCCCCCCGATGCCTAGAAATTCCTAGATTTTTAAAGTTGCAACAAGTGTGGCGGCAAGATTTTGACCATTCCCATTGTGATTGCTATCTCCCCAGGGGTCTGGATCCGCAGCGGGGCTACACGAGCGACGCCCTATCGCCGGACCATCCCGTGGGCTATGGCGTCGCCGTCGGCGTCAACGGAACGCAGCAGCAGCAACAACAGGCACTGGCGGCGGCAGCGGCGGCGGCGGCGGTGGCAGCACAAAATCAACGCAGCGCGACGACCACGGCCACGCCCACAATGCAGCAGCGGATCAAGCCGCTGGGCGTGGCCACGCCCCTCGTGATGGCGAGTCCAGTGCGAAGGTGAGTGCGCCTTTCGGCTTCGATTTTCTATTTTCCGCCATATGTTTTCACGGTCTCCAGAACCAAAAAACCCACGGTTCTTACCACCCACTTGTCCCGCCCCTCGCTGTTGTTGTTGTTGTTATTGTCGCTGCTTGTATAGCTTAACCCTCTTCGAACAACTGGCTATTTAGTTGGTCCTGAGATTCAAGAACATTTTGTATTTATTTAGCATTAAATATTTTTTAAACTTTATTTTTATTTTTCTATTCATATTTTATAAGATACGATTATAATTGCCCTATAATCTTTAGTTTTTATAAATATCAGATTCTGAGATTCAAGAATATTTTTTTTATTAAGTATTAAATATTTGTTTAATTTTATTCCCTGTTCTATTTTATATTCACATAATATACGATTATAATTGCTTTATAATCTTTAGTTTTTATATACATCATTATTAAATATATTGGTTTACTTGTCATAAAAAATAATTGTACAAGTTTTAAGAACCCAATGTCATGTAAATCTTTAAAAGTACCCATTATAAATTTATGGATCTCAAGGGGTTAAGGGATTTCCGTGTATGTGTGCCAGTGCTTGTGTAGTTGTGTTGCTTTCGATGAGCCCACACCTTTGGCTTTAGCTTTGCCGTTAGATTGTTTGTTTATTTGCGTTGCTCCTTCGCCGCCTTGCGTAATTTTCGCGTAGGCGTGAGAATCTGAAGAGGACTCGTACTATATTTAAGATGAAATCTAAAAAAAGTACATATATCCTGGGGATTATAACAGAGGAACTCCCCCTTATCGCTCTTCCTTTCGCACCCACCTCTCTCGATAAGTAGAAAGAAACGGGATAGATATGTAGCGCGAAAATGAAAGAGATGCCCTGTGGGTCAACGACCCCGCTTCTTTGTACACCCCCTACTATTTAGTTGCACCTTTGCGTACCCCTCATCCATTTGGTTGTCCTACCACTCATTTCGCTCTCGTCGGCTCCCTTATCTCCCATCTTATAAACTAATTAATTATTTTTTCCCACTTTTCTTTTCCCATTTTTTTTTGTGTGTGTGACATCAATTGATTCGGTCGATGTGTAGTCAATACTCAAATTCTGAGAACAGTACTAATTCCTAGGCTTAGCTTAACGAAAGAAAAAAAAAACCAAAACAATGAAGTCCAACAAGAAACAACAGAGAGAACCCAAGAAACAAAAACATAAATAATACGAATACCTTATAAGATTATGCAAAGTGAAGAATAAATAACCAAAAAAATACGAACTAAGTAAAGCAATGTGTAAGTTAAGCCCGAAAGAGGAGCAAATGATATCGAAATGCAGAGGGGAACCGAAAACTGAACCGAAAACCGAACCGTTCCGTTTCGCACATAAGAAATAAACACCCGTCTTCGTTGTCGTCCTCGTCGTTTCTTTCTTCCGCTCGCTCTTCGTTCTTCGCTCTTTTTTCAACCTTCACCCGAACCACTGATCCACTGAACCACTGATCCACTGGCAACCACTTGAACCACTCGCGAACCACTCTGCAAACCGAAAACCGAACCGAACCGAATCCAAAAACCGCTATCCGTAGACCTTCTACTAAGCACCTTCTACTTTCTTTCTGCCGCGCGAGGTGAGTTTTACTTTCTTTCTTTCTCCTTTCGTTTCGTTTCGTTCCGTTCCGTTTCGCTTTCATTCTTACGTTTTCGTTTCCGTTTCCGTTCATTTTGGTTGCCGTTTTTGTTTTGCGTCCGCCTTTAACCCTCTCTCACCCCCTCATATTCGCATTTAACCCGCGGTCCAGGTTTTCCTCGCCCATTTGACCATTTTTTGCCATTCCTCGACATTCTCTCATCTCTGTGGTTTTTGATTATAATATCGCTGCCATTTCGAATTAATGAGGGATTTCTTCTCTGGTTTGAACTTAACATGAGGTTAACGTGTGGTTAACATTAGCATTCTCTTTCTAATATTTTATAAATATTTAAATGTATAACATAAAATAATATAATATTATCGTGACTGATATTACCTTGGGCAGAATATCTAAACTATTTAAGTTAATATTTTGGAATCCTGGGAGATCAAAGTGATCGGGGTAAAAATTGTAGAAAAGCGTCCACATTCACAAGGTATTGTACACCCAAGACGGAACTCAGAATCGATCTCTCGAAATCGGAGCAAAATCCAGAAAAATTCTTGTATACCTTTGTCTTCTCTTTCGGCACTCGGCTCCATTTTTGTTCCTCGACGTTCCAAACACAAAGTGATAATTATAGCAGAGGAATTAAATCAAGAGAAACCACAAGAGCCCTTTGAAAATTCCCAGTGCCAACGAAAAATTACAAGCCACCATGAGCAGAAAGCAATCCCTGCATCTGCTGGACAAAACGCTGCCTATTTCGGTGGCCACCGCACCGCAGTTGCGCTCCCGCCGGCAGTTCAGCTTCAATGGGCTGCGGTACGAGATGAGTGGGTTGCCACCACTGCCGCCGCCGCCGCCGCCTCCGCAGCTCTCGCGGCTCAGGGCGGGTGGAGGAGGAGGTGGTGGCTCCCAGGAGAGCGGGTCAGCTGGCGGAGATGGACAGCTCCCAAAAGGAGTCCTCCCCAAACGGGTGAGCCAGGGCGACAGGGCGCTGCTGATGAACGGAGGCGTTCGGATGCCCAGGAGAAGTGAGCTGGACTTTCCCAGGGAGAAACTAGAGAAGGAGAAGGAGGAGGAGGAGCAATCCCAGCGGCGGCGGCGTGAGAAGAAGCAGCGTCGCAAGGAGCTGGAGGTCCCCAATCCTCCCCAGAATCCCAGTGGCAGTGGCCTGACCTCCCAGCAGAGCTGGCTATTGGCCCAATCCCTGCTGAAGGCCTACGGAAGCGGCCTGGTCGAGGGTGAAGTGGCCGCCACCTCCTCCTCCAAGATGGACTACATAACGCTAGCCGGTTTGGTGCTCGGCTGCGTGGCCTCGCATGCCCTCTTTCTGCTGTGCTGGTACTTCAGCTGGCTGAAGAATCAGGCCGTGGGCCTAAGGAAACGCTTCCTCGGCAACGCGAATCTCTGGGAGTTCTTCGATATGGAGGATACCAGCCGCTATTCGGTGCAGACCAAGCTGGTGCTGGCCCCGCTGATCCTCCTCTGTGGACTGCTCTACTGCGTGGTCAACATGCTGCACCTGGTGGTCCAGGTGGTGCGATCCGATGTGCCGCGCACAGTGGTTGTGTTTGTCCAGCGGGTGGCGAACAGTGGTCTGCTGGGCACCATCACCCTGGGATTGGCCGGTAACAGAGGAGGAGGAGGAGGAGGAGGTGCGGTGCGGGGACGCCAGAAGCAAGCGATTCGATAAAGCCGCTCTCTATTCCCCAAAGGATTCCTATGGAAAGTCTGGATAATCATTGGTGGCTTATTAATTAATAAAAAAATATTTAACCCCCGGTTAAAGTCTAAACAATTTTTTTATTCTTATTAGATGTGATTTTAAAATGTTTAGGGTACAAGAACAATATAAATATTTAATAAGCTGCATTTATTACTAAACTCATGGATTTTAAATGCCTTATTGAGTTAACCTCCGGTTATGCATTTTTGTGTGTCGATTTGTTTCAGTCTGGCCAATCATTTTGTCTTGGTGGCTTATTATTTAATATGAAAAAAAAAGAATACTGCAAACAGAACTAATTGATTTTCCTGTGAGTGGTAGATTTTTAACCCCCGGTTAAAGTCTCTAAGATTTTTTATTCTTCCCACATGTGATTGTTAAATGTTTAGGATACAAGAGCAATATAGATATTTAATAAGCTGCATTTAACACTAATCTCATTGACTTTAAATGCCTTATTGAGTTAACCTCCGGTTAAGAATTTTTGTGTGTCGCTAACGGTCCTTTTCTGTGACTAAACGATCTTAAACCTCACTTCCATCCGATCGGATCAGATCAGAACACCCACTATATCCACTATATATCTCTGTCTCTCGCTCATCGATCGCCATTGTTTTTCTAACCGTCAGTTAACCGAGCCGTTAAGTTCTAACCGCTGCAGCAGCTTTTGAGCTCGCTCTCTCTCGGCATGCTTTACTACTACGATTGCTTGGCTGGATAACTAAATCTAATCTAATCGCTGACTAATTCCTGTGTAACCTTAAACAGATCTAACCCGGGCACGCCCACTCAGCCGAGACGCCCCGATTTTATTGGTCTGAACGCCCAGGCGGTGGCGCAGCAGCAGCAGCAGCAGGCGGCGGCAGCAGCGGCGGCCTACTACGAGTACACCAGCGGCCTGCCGCCGCAGCATCCGCAGGCGCCGAGCATCCAGCAGCAGCAGCAGCAGCTGCTCCTCCAGCAGCAGCGCGTGCTCATGCAGCACCAGCAGCAGCAGCAGGGTGAGTAGTGATCTCAGATCAATTTTTAACCGATACTAATCAATCCTTTCCTCATCCACAGCTCTTCAGCAGCAGCAGCAGGCAGCAGTGGCCGCCGGAATCCATGCTGCTCATCCGCAGCACGCCGCTCTGGCGCAGGCGGCCTACGGCGGCAGTCCGCAGCGGCGCTTCCTCTCCGAGGGCGAACTGGTGCGCCAGGGAGCCGGCGGGGGAGGAGGAGGCGGTGGAGGCAACGAGCTGTCCTACGCGCGTTCCAACAACACGGTGGATAACATAAGAGAGCTGGCCGGCAGTCCGCAGCGAGGCGTTTACATGTGGAAGGACACGTCGCCGGGATTCACCAGTGCCGTCGGTCAGCAGCAGCAGCAGCAGGTGGTTAGCAGCGGAATCGGCAGCAGTGCGGGCACTCTGTCCAGCAGCGGAGCCTCCGCCGGCGTGATGCCGCATGCCCAGTACATGCAGGCGGGCGGAGGAGCCCATCCGCTGATAATGACGCACTCGCGACTCCAGGACTATGCCATCCAGCAGCAGCAGCAGCAGCAACAGGCGGCAGCGGCGGCGGCAGCAGCAGCCTCATATCATCGCTCCAATCCGACGAGTCCCACCACCATGCCGCAGGTGTCCGGAGCTGGCCAGCAGAGCTACATAGTGCGCTACGGAGGCGGCGGAGCGGCGGTTGGAGCGGCAGGAGCAGCCGGCAGCAGCGGCAGCCTGGCCAGCGTGACGGGTAGCAACCCAACCAGCAGCTATCAGCCGGCTCTGCGCGGCGGAGTAGCCGTGTTTCCACCCAATCCGCTGGGAAATACGGGCGGAGGCAACCTGCAGACGCAGCCCTCGCCGCAAATCAAGCGAAAGCAGACGCCCACTCGACCCATGAGCTTTGTGCGGGCGCTGGAGATGACGGACTCGATGGAGATGCAGTCGATGGAGCAGCAGCAGCAGCAGCAGAACGGAGGAATACCCGGCAGCGGATCGGTGGTGGGAAACAATCAGCAGCAGGGTAACCTGCTGCAAGGCAACAACGCCTCCAATTCGGGAACTCCGGACAGGGCCAGCATCTACGACATGAACTACGAGATCTCCGTATAACCCGTGGTGGTGCCCGTGCTCCTGATGCCACCCGCCAGTCAAGCAGCTCCAGTGGCTCCTCCAGTTGCTGCTCCACTGGAGCCGGCTGCCTATGCCTGCGTTCCTGTGCTGCCCCTGAAACCGATAAGCAATGGAATAGGAACCCATAGCCATCATCATCATCATCACCAGCAGCAGCAGCAGCAGCAGATCCACAACCAGAATCAGAACAAACGAAAGTTTTCAACCTTCTTTTAGGGAGGAAAACTAGCCTGTTTTTTAATTTTTTTAACCAATGATTTGAACGAGCATGTAAAGAACTATTTACACCAGATGTGTGTGTATATAAGTTGCACTGCTGTTGTAGCTACTTCTAAAGCTTAAGTAATTTTATTATGTAATTTGTATGCATTGTTTTTATGATTATTTTTTTAATGCACCTTGGAAGATTATTTATACTTTTAATGCTTTTTATAAACATGATCGAAATGGAGAGATGGAGATAAAGAGAATATGAGATAAATTGAAAACGAGAACACGAGTGGAAAAATACAGTGCGTTAAATCTGCTAAATCTATTATACATATAGTACACACACATATATGGAAACCTTTTGCAATCAACTTGAAGAAATCGCCAAAATTTGTACGTGTTTGTGTATGTGTGCCTGTCTACGTCTGTACGTCTGTACGTCTGTGCATGTGTGTGTTTAACATTAGTCTTTATAAATTTATACACCTATTTATGCCATATAATGTATATAGGATACGCTACGTCAGGGCCCAGGTGCAGAGAACTTTGTCATTTGTGTAAATAGGTGAAGAAGTTGAAGGGATTCGGAGGAGGAGTAGCCGATTTGTGCTTGGAATTCAGAGATAATATAGAGGGATCTGGACGGGAAGTGTCGTATGTCTAATCTATAAACCAAGGCCTGTAAATAGAAACCCGTTTTGTAAGAACTACCTCCCTCCCCTTAACTCCCTTAATTTCTCAGTCCAGTGAAGCGAAAGGTTGGGACAGTGCGTTTCGTGGCCCTTGTCTATTCAGCCACCTAAGGTTTCATTCAAAGTCATTCTATTAGTTTAACGCACTTACTTTCTTACTCAGGACAATGATTAGCAGCAAATGGCATTTTCACCTTCACACAAATCACCCCGAAACGCACTGTCTCTGACTCCCAGTAGAGATTTATTTCCTTTCCCCGCCCTCATTTACTTAGAATTCGTAAGAGAGCCCTAACTCCGTGTAACTTGAATGTCGTCCAATTCAAATCTAATCAGTTTTGATTTTCCTGTACATAAGTGTAATAACGCATGAGAATTCTTCGGTTCGAGACTACCGACTACGTACGCCTGCTTGCCCAAATGGGCTCCAACTTTGTTGTTATGTTTTTAAGTGAACTTAGCTTTTATACCGATCCCCAAGTGTGTGTGTTCTTAGATCAATTCAAGTTTCAGTTTGGTTTTCTTTTTTTTTTTTAATTCAAAATGCAAATGGCAATTTCTAGCGATAGTAAGAAAGTTGGCTATATACACGACACTCATGCGATCGATCGAGAACGAAAGAGACAGAGAGAGAGAGAGAATTATACATGTATAAGGCGATCAATCCCGAATCCGACCCTCTTCCCTGCCCCATAGATCATGAGAATTTGCAAGGATCAAAACTTGTATAGACTATGCAATGAGGTGTGCGACATGAGTTTCTGGGCCAGCGATTTTCGCCCCTGCATTCGATTTCTTCCACAGGCATTGCGATCTTTTTTTTTTTATCCATATTTATTAGAATTTCCAATTGTCGAATATTAACTTCCAGTTGTAGAGATGTCGGTGAAAATCATGCTGCCCTAGCCACGTATTTCGCACGCCTTATATTACGGATCAAGAGTATATATTATACACACGTATATTTAAGCGTTTTTTGCTAACACATTAATTCATGAATTTGCAACAATATTTAATATGAATACAGAAATGCATATACAAACAACAAAAAAACGAGAAAAGAAGAAAAAACAAAACAAAAATCGAGTGTAATGTAAAATGTAACGAGAAAAGTAAAAAAAAAAAAAAAAAAAACAAAAACAAAAACAAAAAACGGAAGAAATTGTTTTAGATTTTTATACCAAATTTAATTAATGTAAAACCACGAATTGTTTATTTTTTGTATTCCCCGTAACCCCCGCCAGAATGAGAGCAATCCCTGCCAGAGAAATCCTCGAGTTCTAAATTGTTTTTTTTTTTGTATTGAATACTTATGTAATTTGTAAATTATATGACAAGTAATCAAATAGCAAGCATAAACAGCAAGGCAATTAATAAACAATACAAATAAAAATGCATCATGAAATCGATCTTTTTAATGTCTTCTCCCTCGTAAGTATGCCACCCAAAACAAAAGCCATTTCTCAGTTTTTGCTATACGTTTTATACATTTTTACACAAAAATCGATTTATAGACTCAATTCAGGCCTAACTATAAAACTGGAATCATCAACATAAACTTAAGCTAGACGATCTGTGGGGATCTGAAAATTGCACTAAAGCAGCGAGGAAGTGAAGATCTGCTGTAGGATGTGAGGTAGCTTGGTGAGGTCCATGCAGACGAAGCTCTGTCCCGCCGGCATTTCGGCATTGATTCTGGAAGGAAGAAGAGCCATAGTTAGGAACGGTAATTTAAAAAAGATTTGTACGAAATTAAAGAAAGGTTTTTGGAGCGGATTACAAAAGGGTAGTATTTAAGTAAGGTTTTCCTCGAGTTTATACTAAATAATACTAACTCATCGGCCTCCTCGGCCAAACTGCCAATGAAGATGGCATAACCTTTGACCTTCGGTTCGCCCCGCTTGAGGGCCACGGCCAGATCCTTGGGAGCGATGCCGTAGCGCTGCAGATTGGCATCGCTGAGGACCACCACAATGGCGTTGTCATAGTCCTGCTCCGCTCCCAGCGTGGAACAGGCCTCCCGCGCCGCCTTCACCGTGGAGTCGCCCGACCAGCAGAACTGCGAGTGGGCGTGCATCATCCGGATGGCCTCGAATCGCTCCTTGTCGTTTTTCGGCGGACTGCCGGCGGTCACGAACGGAATCTCCCAGCCTTCGCCGCTGTGGCCGACAATGTCGTAGACGATCTTCTTTTCGAATCCCTCGAAGGCCTCCATCACCATGACCACAGCCTCCAACTGACGGTCCAGCCGTCCATCGTAGCCATTAAACCTAAAATATATGAAATCGTTTTTGTGGAATTTTTTATTTTGGTTTTTTTGCTGTAACTTGGCCAAAAATGAAATTTTTTCTTTTGGTTTTTTGGCTGAACTTGGCCAAAAATGGTTCTACACCAAAAATACATACTGTTTTAAACAGATAACAAAATTTGCTATAAATCCATATAACTTTCCGTGTGATTTTGGAAAAATAAAATTTTCGCCAATTTTAAATTTTTTTATAAGGGGGTACCCCATGATTTTTTGCGAAAAATTAAAAATGAATAAATTGTCAAGGTTTAAATGCCAATCGTTAGGAAATTTAATAACGAGTTCAGAAAGGTATGACAATCCATACTTTGAATCAGTATTTACTTTGTTATAGCGAAAAAACGGGTTTGGTTTTTTTTTGGAAATTCGCGATTTCAGTTTTTGACAAAAATTGGAATTTTTTCTTTTGGTTTTTTTGCTGTAACTTGGCCAAAAATGGTCCTACACCAAAAATACATACTGTTTTGAAAAGATAACAAAATTTGCTATAAATCCATATAACTTTCCGTGTGATTTTGGAAAAATAAAATTTTCGCCAATTTTAAATTTTTTTATAAGGGGGTACCCCATAATTTTTTGCGAAAAATTAAAAATGAATAAATTGTCAAGGTTTAAATGCCAATCGTTAGGAAATTTAATAACGAGTTCAGAAAGGTATGACAATCCATACTTTGAATCAGTATTTACTTTGTTATAGCGAAAAAACGGGTTTGGTTTTTTTTTGGAAGTTCGCGATTTCAGTTTTTGACAAAAATTGGAATTTTTTCTTTTGGTTTTTTTGCTGTAACTTGGCCAAAAATGGTCCTACACCAAAAATACATACTGTTTTGAAAAGATAACAAAATTTGCTATAAATCCATATAACTTTCCGTGTGATTTTGGAAAAATAAAATTTTCGCCAATTTTAAATTTTTTTATAAGGGGTACCCCATAATTTTTTGCGAAAAATTAAAAATGAATAAATTGTCAAGGTTTAAATGCCAATCGTTAGGAAATTTAATAACGAGTTCAGAAAGGTATGACAATCCATACTTTGAATCAGTATTTACTTTGTTATAGCGAAAAAACGGGTTTGGTTTTTTTTTGGAAATTCGCGATTTCAGTTTTTGACAAAAATTGGAATTTTTTCTTTTGGTTTTTTTGCTGTAACTTGGCCAAAAATGGTCCTACACCAAAAATTCATACTGTTTTGAACAGATAACAAAATTTGCTATAAATCCATAAAACTTTCAGTGTAATTTTGGAAAAATAAAATTTTCGCCAATTTTAAATTTTTTTATAAGGGGGTACCCCATGATTTTTTGCGAAAAATTAAAAATGAATAAATTGTCAAGGTTTAAATGCCAATCGTTAGGAAATTTAATAACGAGTTCAGAAAGGTATGACAATCCATACTTTGAATCAGTATTTACTTTGTTATAGCGAAAAAACGGGTTTGGTTTTTTTTTGGAAATTCGCGATTTCAGTTTTTGACAAAAATTGGAATTTTTTCTTTTGGTTTTTTTGCTGTAACTTGGCCAAAAATGGTCCTACACCAAAAATTCATACTGTTTTGAACAGATAACAAAATTTGCTATAAATCCATAAAACTTTCAGTGTAATTTTGGAAAAATAAAATTTTCGCCAATTTTAAATTTTTTTATAAGGGGGTACCCCATGATTTTTTGCGAAAAATTAAAAATGAATAAATTGTCAAGGTTTAAATGCCAATCGTTAGGAAATTTAATAACGAGTTCAGAAAGGTATGACAATCCATACTTTGAATCAGTATTTACTTTGTTATAGCGAAAAAACGGGTTTGGTTTTTTTGGAAATTCGCGATTTCAGTTTTTGACAAAAATTGGAATTTTTTCTTTTGGTTTTTTTGCTGTAACTTGGCCAAAAATGGTCCTACACCAAAAATTCATACTGTTTTGAACAGATAACAAAATTTGCTATAAATCCATAAAACTTTCAGTGTAATTTTGGAAAAATAAAATTTTCGCCAATTTTAAATTTTTTTATAAGGGGGTACCCCATGATTTTTTGCGAAAAATTAAAAATGAATAAATTGTCAAGGTTTAAATGCCAATCGTTAGGAAATTTAATAACGAGTTCAGAAAGGTATGACAATCCATACTTTGAATCAGTATTTACTTTGTTATAGCGAAAAAACGGGTTTGGTTTTTTTTTGGAAATTCGCGATTTCAGTTTTTGACAAAAATTGAAATTTTTTCTTTTGTTTTTTTTGCTGTAACTTGGCCAAAAATGGTCCTACATCAAAAATACATACTGTTTTGAAAAGATAACAAAATTTGCTATAAATCCATATAACTTTCCGTGTGATTTTGGAAAAATAAAATTTTCGCCAATTTTAAATTTTTTTATAAGGGGGTACCCCATGATTTTTTGCGAAAAATTAAAAATGAATAAATTGTCAAGGTTTAAATGCCAATCGTAAGGAAATTTAATAACGAGTTCAGAAAGGTATGACAATCCATACTTTGAATCAGTATTTACTTTGTTATAGCGAAAAAACGGGTTTGGTTTTTTTTTGGAAATTCGCGATTTCAGTTTTTGACAAAAATTGGAATTTTTTCTTTTGGTTTTTTTGCTGTAACTTGGCCAAAAATGGTCCTACACCAAAAATACATACTGTTTTGAAAAGATAACAAAATTTGCTATAAATCCATATAACTTTCCGTGTGATTTTGGAAAAATAAAATTTTCGCCAATTTTAAATTTTTTTTATAGGGGGTACCCCATGATTTTTTGCGAAAAATTAAAAATGAATAAATTGTCAAGGTTTAAATGCCAATCGTTAGGAAATTTAATAACGAGTTCAGAAAGGTATGACAATCCATACTTTGAATCAGTATTTACTTTGTTATAGCGAAAAAACGGGTTTGGTTTTTTTTTGGAAATTCGCGATTTCAGTTTTTGACAAAAATTGGAATTTTTTCTTTTGGTTTTTTTGCTGTAACTTGGCCAAAAATGGTCCTACACCAAAAATTCATACTGTTTTGAACAGATAACAAAATTTGCTATAAATCCATAAAACTTTCAGTGTAATTTTGGAAAAAATAAAATTTTCGCCAATTTTAAATTTTTTTATAAGGGGGTACCCCATGATTTTTTGCGAAAAATTAAAAATGAATAAATTGTCAAGGTTTAAATGCCAATCGTTAGGAAATTTAATAACGAGTTCAGAAAGGTATGACAATCCATACTTTGAATCAGTATTTACTTTGTTATAGCGAAAAAACGGGTTTGGTTTTTTTTGGAAATTCGCGATTTCAGTTTTTGACAAAAATTGGAATTTTTTCTTTTGGTTTTTTTGCTGTAACTTGGCCAAAAATGGTCCTACACCAAAAATTCATACTGTTTTGAACAGATAACAAAAATTGCTATAAATCCATAAAACTTCCAGTGTAATTTTGGAAAAATAAAATTTTCGCCAATTTTTAATTTTTTTATAAGGGGGTACCCCATGATTTTTTGCGAAAAATTAAAAATGAATAAATTGTCAAGGTTTAAATGCCAATCGTTAGGAAATTTAATAACGAGTTCAGAAAGGTATGACAATCCATACTTTGAATCAGTATTTACTTTGTTATAGCGAAAAAACGGGTTTGGTTTTTTTTGGAAATTCGCGATTTCAGTTTTTGACAAAAATTGGAATTTTTTCTTTTGGTTTTTTTGCTGTAACTTGGCCAAAAATGGTCCTACACCAAAAATGCATACTGTTTTGAACAGATAACAAAATTTGCTATAAATCCATAAAACTTCCAGTGTAATTTTGGAAAAATAAAATTTTCGCCAATTTTAAATTTTTTTATAAGGGGGTACCCCATGATTTTTTGCGAAAAATTAAAAATGAATAAATTGTCAAGGTTTAAATGCCAATCGTAAGGAAATTTAATAACGAGTTCAGAAAGGTATGACAATCCATACTTTGAATCAGTATTTACTTTGTTATAGCGAAAAAACGGGTTTGGTTTTTTTTTGGAAATTCGCGATTTCAGTTTTTGACAAAAATTGGAATTTTTTCTTTTGGTTTTTTTGCTGTAACTTGGCCAAAAATGGTCCTACACCAAAAATACATACTGTTTTGAAAAGATAACAAAATTTGCTATAAATCCATATAACTTTCCGTGTGATTTTGGAAAAATAAAATTTTCGCCAATTTTAAATTTTTTTATAAGGGGGTACCCCATGATTTTTTGCGAAAAATTAAAAATGAATAAATTGTCAAGGTTTAAATGCCAATCGTTAGGAAATTTAATAACGAGTTCAGAAAGGTATGACAATCCATACTTTGAATCAGTATTTGCTTTGTTATAGCGAAAAAACGGGTTTGGTTTTTTTTTGGAAATTCGCGATTTCAGTTTTTGACAAAAATTGGAATTTTTCTTTTGGTTTTTTTGCTGTAACTTGGCCAAAAATGGTCCTACACCAAAAATTCATACTGTTTTGAACAGATAACAAAATTTGCTATAAATCCATAAAACTTTCAGTGTAATTTTGGAAAAATAAAATTTTCGCCAATTTTAAATTTTTTTTATAAGGGGGTACCCCATGATTTTTTGCGAAAAATTAAAAATGAATAAATTGTCAAGGTTTAAATGCCAATCGTTAGGAAATTTAATAACGAGTTCAGAAAGGTATGACAATCCATACTTTGAATCAGTATTTACTTTGTTATAGCGAAAAAACGGGTTTGGTTTTTTTTTGGAAATTCGCGATTTCAGTTTTTGACAAAAATTGGAATTTTTTCTTTTGGTTTTTTTGCTGTAACTTGGCCAAAAATGGTCCTACACCAAAAATTCATACTGTTTTGAACAGATAACAAAAATTGCTATAAATCCATAAAACTTTCAGTGTAATTTTGGAAAAATAAAATTTTCGCCAATTTTAAATTTTTTTATAAGGGGGTACCCCATGATTTTTTGCGAAAAATTAAAAATGAATAAATTGTCAAGG